GACAAGCCGGGAAGCCTTAAATGCTGTCCAAATTGCCGTAAACTAATTAAAAATGTTTATCGTTATGGACGAATACTCAAGAAACGGATCCTTGATACCCAAAATAGGAAGTTTATAGTATACTATGATTCACGACTAAAGAGAAAGACAAAAAATTTAGAGAAGATAACAAAACGCATAGAGAATAATCGAATGGAAATCCTTAAAAATTTGCAAATTCCTTCTTGGAAATCTAAAAGAAATCCCAAAAAGTCAGAGGAAGAAATACTTAATCCTACACTTCCTGAAATTACTTCGCGAGAGCATTTTGAAAGACTTGAACATTACTATTCGATACCGTCGAGTAATGAAGGATCATGGAATAAGCATGTTGCATCCCTACTTGATTGCTATACCGAATTTTCCAGACTGATGACTGATACCAAAAATCCTCCATATAAGCGAGCTTATGATGCTGCCGTTTCGTGTTTGTAAGTGTCTATTCACTTTTGGCTTTTTATAGCATTATTTTTACTAACACATGATGATTTATCATACAGATTTAAAAAAAAATCAGAAGTAAATATGGATGTATTAATTGAGGATATCCGTTCGTCAGAAATGTTTCTTGATGATTCTACTGCAGCACAAAGTCGTCGACTTCAAGAGAGTTTAGAGGAAGTAGGAATTATAACTCCTAAGATTGACAGGTAAACACGTTAATATTTGAAAATATGGCATTAAGCAAGCGCTTAATTTTTTGTTGTGTATATGTATAGGCGGTTCTATCTCGATGGATTTTTTGAGATAGTCAACATTCAAAAAGTTTTGTTCTACGAGGTATCTTCAATTATTGACGGATTAACCCTGGAACATAAAAAGCTTAAAGAAAATTGGTTAAAGTTTTCCGAGTTCCTGATTCAATCGATCAAGTCTCATTTGGAATTGATTAACAAGACTGCGTCAGAAAATAAATACACGCGTCATTCTGTTTTGGCATTATTAGAGTTAAGCGAGTTTGAGTGTACGGTCGAAAGATTTGAACTGAAGAATCCCCCATCTGGCTCGATTACTCCTTTGATGAAAGAAAGAATTAAGGATAAATGTAATGACATTGAAAGATGCTGCTTACAAGTTCGCAATTTACTTCATAAAATGGATATGAATTATTTTAAGCAGCGGTGTAATGACAGAATCGAAAAAATTCTCAAAGACGTGCAAGAAATTTATATTGCTGCAGAAAGGTCTGGCGAATTAACAAGAGAAGAAAAGTTAGAAATTCACAGAGCAATGAGTGGTGAATTTGTCGGAATTAGTGGAACAAGTCATTGGTATCAATGCCCTAATGGTCATGTATACACGGTTGGAGAGTGTGGTAGGGCCATGGAGAGGAGTACATGTCCGGATTGTGGGGCAACTATTGGAGGTGGAAACCATCAATTCGATGAGGGAAATGAAAGAAACATGGAATTTGATGCTATGCAACTATAGTATAAGTGAATAAAGTCCCATATAAATAAATAGACTTGCGAGCAAGAATTTCATTTTCATCTTGTTATCCATCAACGTGTCAAAATCTGAGAATAATAATGTATGTACGAAAAATTCCGTAGCTCGAATTCATCTAACGATATGATCATTCGATGGTATTTATATAAAGAAATTAATATACAGTGTGAGTCAAAATTATTGGAAAATCACTGCGGCGAGATCTGTATAAATTAAACTAACCAAACTCAGA